GCTTTGAATTAGATTTTGTTGAGAGAAAGAAAAGAGCTCTTCTTGATGTAAGATTCAGAAACCCCCCCCCCCCCAGTATGTATGTATATATCTCCCTCCCAAGGTTTCATCAACTTCCTTTTTTATTGCTACCTCTTGTAAACTGTTTTGATCTCCAGTAAATGCCTTTTCAGCTGTTATTTTTGTTGGGTTTTTGTTTGGTTTTTTGGCGACTGGCCAGTACAGGGATCGAACCCTTGACCTTGATGCAGCTGGTATTTTCATGTTGTGCTTTTGTTTCTCAACTTATCTATTGCCACTGTGAATGTCCTTCTAGCATATCAGTAACTGCTGGGCTGAGAAACCAGCTGGCAGCGGGATGAGGCACTGGGGTGATGGAGTGGCAGGGCAGTCTAAACTGGCTCCAGCAACAGTGCTCGCTCACCTGTGCCAAAACAGACAGATGGCACAGCCTAGCTCTGTGCCTTGTTCATGAAAGATGAGAGCTGCTATGTTTATGTCCCCCAAAATTCATATGTTGAAATTCTGACTCCCAATACGAAGGTATTAGGAAGTGGGTCTCTGGGACGTGATTAGGTCTTGAGGGCAGAGCCTTCATGAATGGGATTAGTGCCTTTATAAAAGAGACTCCAGAAAGATTCCTCGTTTCTTCTGCCACATGAGGACAGAGAAAAATCACTGTCTAAACTTGAAATCGGGCCCTCACTAGATACCAAATATGCCAGCACCTTGATCTTAGACTGCCCAGCCTCAAGAACTATGGGAAATAAATTTCTGTTAGGTATAAGCTACCCAGCTTATGATATTTTATTGTAGCAGTCCAAAGAGACTAAGACAAGGGCTTACACAGGTTAGTATTTTGCTTGCATATGCTTTGGAGGAATTCTGCTCTAAAATAAGTAACTGCATAAAATATGGTGCAATGGTCGCAAACCCAAATATTTTCAGGAGTAGGTAACTTAAAGCAGGCAGAGTGAACTGGAAAGTGTATTCCTTGTCCAAAGAAGAGCCTTTTTTTTTTTCCAGCTGATTATTGCCAGAGCTTAAGAATTTGTTCAGGAGAAGCAAGAAAATGGGATTTTTATACATATGTCCGTGAGCCACATTCAAACACAGGCCTTTATTTCTTACCACCTGGTCTAGCAGAACAAGGATAGGTTTTGGCATTAGACCTGAGTTTGAATTGTGGCCCCAGCATGTACTGGTTGTGTGATCTTGGGTAGGTAACTACATTCTCAGAGTGTCACTGACCTTGCCTTTGAAATGAGGGCACCACCACCCACTCAGCAGTGGGGTTGTGGTGATGAAATGAGGTCATGTACAACTTAGGTATGAGGAGGGCTGTCAACCACATGTACAGTGACTAGCACATAGGAAACCCGCCTCGGTCTGCCATTTCAGCTCGTAAGTGACTCTTTCCAATTTGGCAGTCCCGATTTCCAGAGCCTTCGCTAAAAAATATGAGAGACTGTCCTCAGGAGAAGCCTGCTGTCACGTGCTGGTGGAGTGTCTGGCCGTGCACCAGGCATTCACACACCTGCTTGCATGCATCGCTCCATCCCACATCTGGAAGCAACAGCCTGTCTCCAGGGGCAAGGGGAGGAGCAAAGCTGTTGATCACAGAGGCGTACAGGGATCTCCTACCTCACTTTTGTGGCTTTGCCTCCTCAGTGTCAACCACCAGGATTGTTGTTTTTTCTCCTTCAGAAATGAAGACGAGGGCCGGCCTGGAGGTGCACTCGGTAGAGTGCGG